GGGGGTGTGGCCCTCAGGGCGCAGGGGTTTGTGTGGGTGGGCACGGGGCTCCCAGAGGGATGGGGACGGGATGGGGCACCCCGTGGGTGCTCCAGGCAGAGCCGTGCGCCGTGCCCGCAGGTGACACGCTGATCGATGGTGACGACCACTACTGGGAGGTGCGGTACGACCGGGAGAGCAAAGCTTTCGGCGTGGGGGTGGCGTATCGCAGCCTGGGCAAGTTCGATCAGCTGGGCAAGGCACCTCCTGGGTGCTCCAGGCAGAGCCGTGCGCCGTGCCCGCAGGTGACACGCTGATCGATGGTGACGACCACTACTGGGAGGTGCGGTACGACCGGGAGAGCAAAGCTTTCGGCGTGGGGGTGGCGTATCGCAGCCTGGGCAAGTTCGATCAGCTGGGCAAGACCTCGGCCTCCTGGTGCCTCCACCTCAACAACTGGCTGCAGGTCAGCTTCAGCGCCAAGCACGCCAACAAGGCCAAGGTGCTGGACGTGCCCGTGCCCGACTGCATCGGCGTCTACTGCAACTTCCACGAAGGTGGGTGCTGGATGGAGTGGTGCCAAGGTTGGGCGCAGGGTCCGCCACCACCATGGGTACCACCACCACCATGGTCACCAGCGTGTCCAGCATGGCAGTGCCACCACTATGGGGCATAAGCATGTCCATCGTGGGCATTGCCACTATCATGGACACCAGCATGTCCGCCATTGGCACTGCGACCACCATGGGCACCAGCGTGTCCACCATGCGCACTGCCACCACCGTGGACACCAGCATGTCCACCATGTGCATTGCCACTATCATGGGCACTTCCACCACCGTGGGCACCAGTGTGTCCACCATAGGCACTGCCACTATCATGGGCACCAGCATGTCCACCATGGGCACTGCCACCACCATGGACACCAGCGTGTCCACTATAGCACTGCCACCACCATCGACACCAGCATGTCCACCATGAGCATTGCCACTATCATGGCCACCAGTGTGTCCACCATGGGTATTGCCACCATCATGGAACACCAGCATGTCCACCGTAGGCACTGCCACCACTATGGACACCAGCACGTCCACCATGGGCTCTGCCACCACCAAGGGCACTGTGCTGGGGGTCTGCAAGCTTTGTGCCCACTGTGACCCCCCCTGTTCTCCCCCCCTCCCCATGCCTACAGGGTTCCTGTCCTTCTACAACGCCAGGACCAAGCAGCTGCTCCACACCTTCAAGGCCAAGTTCACGCAGCCGGTGCTGCCTGCCTTCACGGTAAGGGGCGGGCAGGGCTGGGCAGCTCCTCTGGTGGGGGTCAGCCCCCCCCACCCCCGTGCCAGCCCCCCCCCCCCCCC